ATATATACACACATATACACACACATATACACACATATACACACACACACAGAGACAGAGACATATACACACGCACACACTTTGGCTTGGCATGAACTGATGCAGTGATCACGGTACCAACCTGTACCAACCACCAGACCCACAACACACTCAAGAGAAGTCAAGAAGAAGGGAAGAATGAAAAGGAGCATGGTTGCCTGCCTCGGGACTTCAGGGTACATGATGTCACAAGCAGTGTGGTATCCCACTCTACATGCAGGTACGTCCAGGTGATCAGCCTGGATATCCTCCCAACTCATAAGCAGCTTCATTGGCAGTGAGCTTATAAGCGGGTCACTGCCCCCTGCAAATGGAAATGTCAATCACAGCGATTACCATGTTCAGGCGTTTACACACACACACGCCCCGAAGGGCGAAAAGGACGCGAAGAAGCAAGCAGGTGTCAGCAAGCCAGTCATGAACAGCAACAAGAGATCAATGACATGTCAGTTTAAGGATTCCGGATACCTTGAGCGCGTGCCTACCTGGTCCTCCTACCTGCACATGCACAGACGATCTACCTGCACTCCTAGGGAAAGCACATGTTCAGCAAGCTGTCTCTACTGATCAACCCTTGACCGCGGCCCTTGACCGTGCAGTGACCGATGATCCCGATGAAGCCCACTGTGGGCACATGTCATCCTACTGCAGATGATCCCGATGGATGAGAACAAGCGTCTGCAACGTTGTGATTCACTCATCCGCTATCGCGGGCTCGGGCACATGCCCCTGAGATCTGGCCCCATGTCGGGAAAAACCAGAAATGGTACACACTTTGGCTTGGCATGAACTGATGCAGTGATCACGGTACCAACATGTACCAACCACCAGACCCACAACACACTCAAGAGGAGTCAAGAAGAAGGGAAGAATGAAAAAGGAGCATGGTTGCCTGCCTCGGGACTTCAGGGTACATGATGTCACAAGCAGTGTGGTATCCCACTCTACATGCAGGTACGTCCAGGTGATCAGCCTGGATATCCTCCCAACTCATAAGCAGCTTCATTGGCAGTGAGCTTATGAGCGGGTCACTGCCCCCTGCAAATGGAAATGTCAATCACAGCGATCACCATGTTCAGGCGTTTACACACACACACATATGCACATGCACATGGACATGCACATGCACATATGCATACTTACTTTCCTTTACAAAATGAGACTACACGCCCTCGAGCCCCAAACTGGCAGCCCCGCCCACAGAGGTACTTCGAGGGCTTGGAGACGCCAGCGCAGACCAGCAGCCGTGCGGAGGCCTGGCCATGTGCGGCTCTCTATGCCCCCATAGGCCTTGGGCTTCGGGGGGACGCCTTGAACCCCAAAATAGGTTTCGGCCTACGCCTCCGTGCTTCTAACCTTCGTTTGCCCCAAACCTGTCACTAGCCTTAAGTCCTTAGTGCACAGATCCCTAGCGGTCCTAGCGCTCATTTGTTCCCAAGAGCCCTCCAGGCGGCCGCTGCCGATGTTTTCCGGGACCTTCCTGACGGAGCCACGGTGCACAATGCAAAGCGCTAGTACTTTTGCTTCTACTTCTGCTGGTATTTTGTCTCGATTTGATGCTCTCCGTTCGGCTCAGTGAGGATTTGGGGCTTGGGAGATTGGCGGGCGTTCGCGGTTTTGGTTGGGGGGGGGGGAGGGGGGGCGAAACTGAGGCGCGAAAAAGCCTCCCCCCTTGGAGGAATTAGGGTTTTGGGCTTCAAAGCACTCAGCTGGGCTGGGCCTTTGGGGCCTTTGCGCCTCTGCGGTCTCGGAGGTCGAGAGAGAGAGAGAGAGAGAGAGAGAGAGAGAGAGAAAGAGAGAGAGAGAGAGAAAAGCGCATGTCTGTCCCCTGCGCTGTAGGTGCTTTTCGTTACCCACAGCAAAGTGCTGGAGGCAGTGTTGGCCAAAGTGACACTGGGTTGCACTGGCAGGTTCAATTGTGGCGAAAGGTTTCGGCTTGCGTTTTGGTGCAGCATTTAGGGTTGTTCGGGGTTTTCGGTTCTGCATGTCGGCTATATGGCCAGGGTCAGTTGTCCAGGTGTGTGGGACTGTGTTTACAGTCTAAGGTTTCGGGCTCAGGGGGAAATATCCTGTGGCACTTTGTCCGTTGGGCCGTGGGCTGTCTTCGGATGTGGAATGCGCCGCCAAGGTTCAACAAGTTCTACGAAGGTGCTCGGGGCCCGGACAGCAGGCTTTAGGGTTCGCTCGAAGGTCATTCGAAGGTGGGGGAATGCAGGCACAGAGAGACGCGGTTGGGACACTGCGGAGCTACCCAAAGTAGATGCTTGGGCCTGGGACTTCGGATTTCGTGAGTTTGCCACAGCCTTCAGGTCGAGACCACGCCCGGCGCCTTCTTCCACTGGACATACCGGGCAGCTTCGAATGAGCTGACGCATCTGCACAAGATCGATTGTCATGATTTTCAGGTAGAGCAATAGCTGCCAAACCCTCAGGACGCTAATCCCTGAACCCTACATCCTGACACCAAAGAACTCAGAATTTGCGTAGATCATCTCCCTATTGATTTAAGCACTGGGCTTAGGTTAAGGGTTTGGAAGTCGGCATGGCATGTCTCCGACATCTGCCCTTACACATCTGGAAGTTTGAGTTGAAAAAGTTATCTGCGTTGAGTGTTTTTTGGGGGCTTGGGCTGGCGAAGACACATCCAAAGGAACAAAGCATGAATGATTCCCGTAGCACCTAATCCCTGAGCCCTTAAACCGCCTTGCGTCCACGAAGAAAAAGATGGAGCAAGCGAGCGCTGCCCAGATGACCAGAGTTTCCGGGATTTAGGGATTAGCGCTTAGTGTTTTCGTCTGTCGGGTTGTTTTGCTCAGGGTTTCTATTCGTCAGGGCACTTTCTCACCCCCAAAACGGGGCCAGCTAACCAGTCATACACTTGGACTTCTCAAGCTTTGTTGTTAGGGTTTAGTGGTGCCAGAGCTTGCATGCAACGAGCTGCGGCTGAATGGTCAGTAGACGATTGCATGGCCACTGAGGATGTTAACACGTTATCGCCCATGAAACTTCCCAGTGCAGGCTGCAGCATGGACTGCAGCGCTCATCTCAGACCAGCAAAGGAGTTATTGGACCGTTATTGGACCGTTCGGTGTTCGGAGGATGACTGAGGCTCTTTGGTGGTTGGGAGGCATTGAGGATGCGGCTTCATTCCGGAGGCTCTACTCTCTCTTGCCGCTTTCGGGCTCTATTGGGGTCATCCACTTAAGTCGCTTAAGCTTCAAAAGCTGATCTGCTGATAAAGCCCCCAATGTACTACGTCCTCAGCACCCAAGCCTCAGACCCTTAAACTGAAGTTGGGGGCTTCTATGTTGCTGGGGTCGTACAGCCTTAGAGCTTGGAGATTTCGGATGTTGCGCACACTTGGGGTTTGGGTAATCAGGGGTATTGAATCATTTGAAGCTCAAGCATTAGACCCTGAACGCTGCCTCCTCATGGAGCCCTGATCCGCAGTACTGCAGGTCCTTTTTTGGTGTTCAGGAGTTTGATGCTTCAAGGTGCTACACTTTCTACCCGCCCGAAGCCTTTTGAGTTCCCTTCCCTGCAGTTGGGCTGCGGGGGTTAGGGCCGATTACGGCCTTGGTGTTTTGGGATTCGGGTTTGTGGTTTCGGGTTTCAGCGTCAGCTTGTCCAGGCCTCATGGCCACGCAAGCCTATGGGGAAGAGGAGAGGGTGTGCCAGAGCAAGAAATAGATGTCTGCTACGGAACTCGTGGATCTGGGTGTGGGGGAATGTTGAACGAGGATTCGTAGGGGCGATTCCCGGGCGATCCAGCCAAGCACAGGCTTTCTGGGGGGCGAAGTCACGGCAGACGCAAACTTGTGCTGCCCCACTTCAAGACTGCCTGTGCGATTTGAGACTTTTAGACTTGCGGATCCCTCTTCGCGAAACCTGCACAGTTTTTTCGCAGTCGACGATGGTGCAAACACATTTAAAATGCAGAGCGGCCAAGAAATTACCAAGTACGGTTCGGCCCTCCAATCCAAAACCTGAAGCCCCCCAAAAAAACAAGAAAAATGAAAAAGAAAATAAAGAGTACTCAACGCTGAAAAAGCATCTGCAAGAGAGGACATTCGCTGGGAGGAGCTGCAGCTGACGCAAGCGGCGCAGGAGCGCTCAGACCTTCGCTGAGTTTGAATGAGTTTTGAATGGTGCCCCAGTGGACCTGTTAAACTCAAAATTCAAGGCTTATCTGGGGAAGTTCTTCTGATGTTTCTGACATTTGAGTTCCTCTGGGCAACTTGTGCCCGAAACTCCTCCGGGGCTGCTGGGCTTGGGATGGACAATGCTGAACATGCTTCGAGCATCTTCGAGCATGTTGTTTTGCAGAGGCATACAGCATGCCGTTGATGACATTCTCATGAGTTGCGAATGCTCCGTGGGTTAGGCAGTTCAGGGTTTTGTGGCCTGACCTTGCAGCGTTTGAGGCATTTGAACGGAATTTGGAGGTTGAAGTAGCGTTGAGTCGGCGTTGAGGATCGACACAGCGACTTTCAGCTTTTCTCGGCGTGTTCCAGGGTTTAGAGGGGGCATTTGAATCCTGAAAGGGCGTATCCCAGGACCATCCTCAGGACCCATCCGCATCTTGAGCTTCTTTAAGAGAAACAAGATGGTGCGTATGTGCTCGTAGATCCCAAGTCAGTGTACAATTCTGAGAAAAAAACAAGGACGGGCTTCCCTCAATCTTCAATCGCCGTAGAGAAAGAGAAGAAAAAGGTCGGTTCTGAGCGCCTCAGGCCCCCTCGAATGTCTCCTCTCAGGAGCCCGCCGCCGAAACACTGCTGTACGAGGATTGTGAAGATCAGGCGTGGCATCTTCCAGGTTTCAGGGCGAAGGCTTCCGGCGAAAGGGTTTTAACGGCAATCCCCTTCCCCTAAAATTAAATACTCCCCATACGCTAGAATAGCACTAGAGCAGGAGTTTGTGTACTACTAGGGGGGAAAGGGGGGGGTTCTATATTAGGGGGGAGGGGATTACTGTTCTCGCGAGTTTTGGACTTGTGGCCTTTGAGGTTTTGCAACTCACAGGATTTGTCACAGGATTTGGCTTTGTCGGAGGTGTTCGCGAAGTTCGCCGCCAAGCGCGCCTGCAAGCTCGGAAGCACACCTTTATTGGGAAAACGCGCGCGCGGGCAACTGCACGTGAAGACCTTACAGTGCAAGCCCAAGCTGTCAAGCGGCGAAAGTTTTCAAACCACTGCAAAGCTTTCACACACTTGGGCCGGCTGCCTTGAAGGGAACCCTTTGCACCTCGCTTGCGACTGAGACAGGAACCCCAAGTCCTCCCGAATCCAGCTAAATCCAGCTAAGCCCAGCCTAAACCCCACTTCGGCCTCCCAGCGGCCCTTTCAGACTCCAAGATTTGACCCAGGAGCCGGCTCCAGCACCGGAGCCAGAGCCCTCAAAGGTCCTCGAAGGTTGCCCTGCAACGCAGGTCTACGCCCCTGGGCTCGGGTTAAGAAAGCGCTGCAGACGTCTTTGTTTTCTCAACTCAAGCGTTTGAAGGCAAGGCTTCACTGTTTCACAGAGGATTCTCCCCGAAAATGGAATCATTAAAGGCCCTCGCTCTCGCTCTCTGCTTTCTCCTCCTGTGTGGACAGTTGTCAAAGACAGCCCGGCAAGAAGCTCCCGTAGTCGCACTGAGAATCTGGAGTCAAAAAACGTCCTCAACGTGCGTGAATCGACGACGGTTCGAGTTTCCAGCACTTGACCGCTCTTTCCAGAACTTGACAGCTCTTTGAGGGCAACGCGATAGCAGTGCAATGTATGTGTTGCGTATCATTGTATTGTATTGTCTTGTGCTGTATTGCTTTGTACTGTATGGTACGGGAAGGTATGGTATGGATTGTACCGTATGGTGTGTGCATGGGTGTGTTTCGGACGTAAGGCAGGTGGTTCAGGTCGGGTCAGCAAAAGGAGCCTACACCACGGAGACGCAAGCAGCTGAACGAACACGTACCCCTTAAAAGCACAAGGTCCGTAGGGCATCAAGCAGAAGCTGCATCATCCCCAAGCATTTCTGCTCATCGGACCTTATTTCAGCTTGGAAGCCCCTTCCAAGCCCTGCAGAAAGCATCCGGGGGGCTGAGGATGATGTCGCCTCACCGCCGAAGCTTGCGGGAGTCGGTTTCCAGGATTTTCCAGCCGCTCGGTGCAGGAAAGCAAGTTGTGTTCGGGGTGTGGGGGAGGGGCTAGGCGACGCCAGGCGGCAAAAATGCGGGTCTTAGAGTTCAGGGACAACATAAGTGCTGCAGTTTACGTTTGTCATGGTAGGATCTTGCATTTCGACGCCTTAGGCCTGTTTGTTTTGAAAGTTAGTAGCGCTGGAGAAACTTGAAAGGCGGTTCTGTCCACGCACGCGCGGGTGCATCTTTCTACATCTTGTGCATGCTCCTGGAGCTTTGAAATATTTGACTCCCACCGGCGCAAGTAAGTCTACGTTTTCTGATACTTCCACGCAAGTTCTGGATGCAAGCGGGTGCCGTGCTCAAGCAGTCAAATCGCTCGAGCATTCCAACAATGAGAGCTCGGGGACAGCTCTAGCAGGTTGTTGCGTGGCCTCAGATCCGTGGGTTTGAGGGCTTGTCAAGCTGGGTGCAGGCTTGACTGGCTGAAGTTCCGGGCTTTGGGTGGCCCCACAGGCGACGCAAGCCTACATGGACGATCTTGAGCCAGCCCAAGGTGCAGGCGACCACTGGTTTTTGTGCGGTTTTGTGCAAGCTTGTGCGAAGCTGAATGGCAATGCTCCCGTAAAGTTCAAAGCCGAGTGTTTTACGGGGTTCGGGTTCTTGGCAGCTTCGGTTACAGAGCTTGGAGGCGCGATTTCAGGTATTTCAGCGACGAGGTAGAGGAAATATTGCTGGCGGATGGGGATTGGGCGGGGACAGAAGGCTCTTGGGGTATTTGTCTGCAGCTTAATTCAACGCCAACTTTTTCCCCAAACAGGCTGCTGTTGGGGTTCTAAATTCATGTAAGGATTGCCGACATTCTGAGGACTGTTGCCGGGCTCCTTGTCTCCCTTTGTCTCCCTTTGTTTCCCTTCATGTGGGTGGCTTGGCCGGGTTGCTGTGCTCCTCGTCTCCCTTTGTCTCCCTTCGTCTCCCTTTGTCTCCCGTTGTCTCCCTTTGTCTCCCGTTGTCTCCACCGTTTCTTTGGCGTGCCTTTGACTGTTTGGTGTCTTCGTTGGTGGACTGTAATGGCTGCGTAGGCTCTCGGCCACGGTGCAGCATAGCTGTACGTCTCAGTTGGTTATACACTTTGTAGCCAAGATGATGTGGCCAAGCTACATCTGGGGACCCATTTACATCCTTGGGATGGCTTGGGGTGTCCTGCAGGTGCCATGTCGTCAGAGGCGTCGAGGTCCGTTTCTGTGACTGAGGCGGGCAATCAGATGTGCAAAGTCAACCCTAGAGCTTAAACAG